TCTCTCTCTCTCTCTCTCTCTCTCTCTCTCTCTCTCTCTCTCTCTCTCTCTGCCTGTGGAGGCCAGAGGACAACCTCTGTGTCATTCCTCAGGCACAGCCACCTTCCACCTTGCTTTTTGCCTGTGTTCTGTTTTGAGAAAGGATCTCATCATATATCCCTGCAGAGGTCCATTGCCTCTGCTTCCTGAGTGCTGGCATCAGAGACACACACTACCACATCCAACACATCTTGCTTTTTGAAACAGACTCTGTCCCTGGCCTGGAGTTCACCAGTCTCACCATCCCTAACCCTAGAATAACAAGATCATGCTGCCACTCATGGCTTTGTGGCTTTGTTTTTTTAACACAGCTTCTGAGCCTTAATCTCAGTTCTCTTGATTGCAAGGCACCCGCATTACCAACTGCCTCACCAGCCCTCCCTATTACAAAAACAAACAAACAAACAAAAAAAAACAAAATCAAAACTTAAAACACGGTGCCAAAATAATGTTGTTCCCTCCCTCTTAAGGGACAGTTTTTCAAAAATGCTTACAGATTGCAGAAAGCTGATGGACAAGTGAGGCCAGAGTGCCACTGGAGTCCATCCCCAGGAAACTGCTCAGGCCCCCACACCTACTCCTCCAACTTAGAGCCTCAGCAGGCCTCTGGAGAAGTCCTGCCCTGGGTGACATGGTTTCAGAGCTGAGCGAGCCTGCAGAGGCTCTCAGCCCGGTGAGCAGTTCGCCCTCACAGTGGGCTGAGCTGTTACATCACTACCTCTCCGCTGCATCCCCTCTTCCCCAGGCCAGGCCATGGCACACGAATGCAGCTGCTGTACAGGTGATGATGTGTTTAGTGTCTGTTGTCGTCATTGTCTGCGTGGCATCCCTCCGTCCCTTCTTGAACTCTAGGGCTATGTCACTGTTGTGCATGTAGTACCCCAGGGCCTTACCTGTCTGTGTCTAGCATTACGTCCAGCCCAAATAAATAATAATCATGTAAACAGAGCCATGGGTCGCTTCTCCTGAGGCATTTGGTCACTTCTGCTCATGGACACTCAGCTTCTGTCTACGTTCTCCCTGTAGATGACGGTTTACTCATTTCTGAAGCCCTTGCATATGGTGATGGTTCAATTAGTAGGTCAAAGGAGCTCTCAAGGGCCAAATATGAGCTCTTCCAACACCTTGAGTGGAGAGGCCCAGGGCCCACTGGTTCTGATCCTCTTTCTGCCATTAACTTAGGCAGTTTCCTCCTGCCAGGGGGCACCATGGAGCATGGTGCTGTGTCAGAGTCCTTTGCTGACCACCTAATGGCACCATTGCTACAGGACTTGCTTCAGGAACAAGCTAAGAGAAACGATGATAGCAAGCTATAGTTATAAGAGTTGACAAAATCTGGGGACCTGGGCATTTCGTTCCATTATCTGAATGTTCCAAAGTTTTTGGGCCAGGGTATGACAGGCACTTAGTCGGGTGGTCTGGAGTAAGCTGGTGTCTGGCTATTTTGTGCTATGTGGCCTTGGCAAGCTCCCTTTTATAGGACGTCAGTCTCCCCTTGTGAGGAATGAAGAAGGAACTTGGACTGTATATCACTGTTTCTTGGTGTGTTGAGGATGGAGGAAGAAAGTACCAGTCCTTACAGACGCTGGGAATTCATGGATTCTCTCAGAAGAAGGGCAGGCTGGGCCATGGGTGACTTCCTGAGTGTCTCCAGACTCATGGGGGCCTCTTGGACAGGCAAGGATCTCTGTCTGTGGATTCTTCTGGCTCTCCTTCATGCCACTCCAGTCCACCAATGCAGTATTTCATTAAGGTTCCTCCAAGGTTCCTTTTCCTCCAGCTTGAGATGAGCCTGGGAAGGCTGGGGGCGGGGCAAGTCTATTAATATCCCTTTCTCAGCTGATTAACTCGCCATTAATTTTCACTCCATTTCTAAGCTGAGCAGGGGAACAAGCTAATGGGCCCAGGCAGGATGAAGTGGCTAGCTCCAGTGATATCCAAAGGCGCCTACAGGGCAGCCAGGAGGCCTGGGAAGAGCCATGGCAGTGTGTGGGTAAGGTGGCTGTTCTTCCAGCCCCACCCAGCCATCCCAGAGCTAGGCTGCCCAGGGAAAGGGGTGAGAAGCAGATCTTTTGTTAGTCAGTGTAGGTTACATCCAATCTCATCGTGGTACATCCAATCTCATCGTGGTCTCTGCCGTTTGGTGCTCATCCCCATCCAGGCCTGTGCTCGCTCTGTAAGTTATGATTCTCTCATCCTTGGCCCTGCCCTGGCTTGCTATGTGGCTTTGATAGGTCTTTGTTCCTCAGAACACCTGTGGAAAGAATGGCAGGTAGGCTTCCCAAGAAACACCAGCTGTGACCGGCGGAGGCTGTTGCCTAGAGCCGTGTGTCACCAGGACTGGCATGAAGTCATCCATGCCGCAGGTGAGCTGGAACACACACGTGGCTCCTTTGACACCCCTGGCCACTAGATGACCCTGAAAGCCCTTACAGTTTTGCTCTATGTGATAATCTGTGGCACCCTGGGAATTCTCTCTCCACCCAGCAGTAATGACATCATCATTCTGAGTGACTTCGCTAGAACCTGAGAAACTGAAGTTGGCCATTCTCTCTCTTGCCTCTCATCTTTGTTTAGCAATTTCCCTGCTTCCCATATCCAAGCTTGGAAGGAACTCACATTGGGTAGTAGGTTCAGTGGAAGGAACCACCTTGTCCAAGGCCACCCTGGTAGTGGCAGAGCTTTGTGTGGCCATCCCCCAAATATCACTGGGTCCCAGGGTCTTAATTCCCCACCAGAGCTAGGAAGCTGTTACAAAAATGGAGCCTAGCGAGTCTTGCCCGGGGATTGGGAGAGTCTTGCAGGTGGGGGCAGCCACGTGAGTCCTCATCACTTTCTAGATCCACAGTCCACAAAGCCCTGGCTCAGACCCACTAACAACTTCTGACTTTTTTTTTTTTATTCTTAGCTCTGTTCTAAAAATTACAAACACGTTTATTCTCCTCTCCCCAAGTCCCCGATTGAGTTAGTCAGCTGCCGCTCTGACTGTAAGGTTGCAGCCGGGAACAGATTTAGTGCAGCCAAAAGGCCATCACGAGATGTGTATTTCAGATGAACTTCCTGAGGAAAGGATGAACAGCTGGACCTGGGATGGGAAAGCATGCCTCAGAAGGAACCATGTGATAGCTTGAGCTTCTGCCAGCACGGAGCAGGGACTCAGGGTTACTGACTGGGGTGGCCTAATCTAGAAGCAAATGGTCTATGCTCTCAACCTAGATCTTGGGGGCCTGAAGGGCTAGGTACCTCGGATTGCAGACAGCGGAGAAGCAGAGCCCTGGTTTATTTGTGCACAGGCACATGGTTCAAGCCCTGACTTTGCCTGATACTTTTTGATTGATCAATTTCTCTGCAAAATGGAGATTAAAACCATACTCCCCTCACCGTGGTGTTGCGTGAGCTCCTGGGTGCTATTGACAGCTTTCCAGTCCCTCTCAAGACCAAGGCTTCCACCCTGGGTGTCCCCTTGCCCTGAGCTATGTTTTCTTAGTCCTTTGCTTGGCTCCTAAAGTTTAAGAATCAGCTGCTGACCACTCTAGGCAGCCTGCAATCTTGTTCTTTTTCCTATCCCAGGCTCCTCTAGCTTCCTCAAGTCTCTCTCAAGCTCAAAGATGCACTCTTGTCTTCTTCTCTTGTCTGTCTCAACTCTTCCAAAGGGTCAAGCTCTAGGAGGGCAGGGAGTATGATGGCCTTGGTATGCTGAATGCCAGCATCCAACACAAAGCCAGATGCAGTACAGCCTGCAATAGGAAGGGAAGAAAGGAAGTGGGGTGGGCACTGGTCTTCATCATTGTCTCTAAAATGGTAGTGCCATAGTAAGTATAGCATAGCAAGTAGTAAGCACTTGCTTGGTGTCGGGCCCTGTTTTCTAAGCACCTTGCTTGCAGTCACCTGCTCACACTCAACAAGAACTCCTTGGTGTGGGTCCTGTCTATTATCTCACCTGGCAGAGGAGGTTTAACTTGCCCTTAAGAACCCACAGTTGATAAGTGTGGTATTTGTGAGTCAACAGCTCCAGAGCCCAAGCTCCTAACTACAGCACCCACTACCTCTCCCCGAGGGAGCAAAGAGAACAAACCCAAGGATCCCATGGGAAGTCCAAGCTGGTTTTCATTGTTCTAGTTATGACTGTCCCCACTGAGCCCTGGGATATCCAGTCTCTACCCTGTGTGGGCCTCAAGGTTCAAGGGGCTGGGACCCTGACACCAATGATGAAGAGAAGCTTGAGTCTTTGATCAAAGAGGCAGGTATCTTTAAATAGGCTGTCTTCTGCCCAGGTCACAGCTCAATGAGCAGCAGAGCCAGGATTGGGATCTTCAGGCAAGGCCCCTTCCCGTGGCCTGTTTATCAAATTCTTGTGGCTCTTGGAGTTGACAACCTGCTTACTGAATATTTCAGAAATATGGAACAGATTTCTTGGGCTAAGGGGCTGGCAGCTGTGGTTCGTTCGGGTAGGGAGCTGGGTTCCCCACAGTGACAAACCCTTTCTCCCCCACCTTTGTTTCTTCCATCCAGATTGACAGTGAGAATGAAGCTCTCTTGGCTGCGCTTACCAAGACCCTGGATGACATCCCCGAAGACGATGTGGGGCTGGCTGACTTCCCAGGACTGGATGACGGCGACACATCATCCTGCACCCCAGCTTCACCTGCTCCCTTATCTGCACCCCCCAGCCCCGCCCTGGAGAGGCTTCTGTCCCCAGTGTCTGAAGTGGATGAGCTTTCACTGGTGAGGACTGTGGCCTGGGGCTGATGTCAGATTGTAGACCGGTGATGGCTAAGCTGTCAGGTCTAGCTCAGTCAGGGCCCTGAGCACCAGGACATAGTTTCTACAGACAGCCTCAGGTTCGAGGACTCCCTGGACCTTATCCTTCCTGCCTGGACAGTGACATTAGACTTTGTTCTATTTTTCTTTTAAACCTTAAAATCACACACAAACATTTGCACCAAGATAACACATGTAGGATAAAAAAAACAAGAGGGAAATGGAAACGTGGACAGTTAAAAGCAAAACCTTCCGAGCCCTCTCACAATTGCCTTCTTCTTCCCCAGAGGTAACCATGGTTACTGATCTGTTACATGACTTTCCTCTTCACCTTTTTTTTTTTTTTTAACTACAAAAACAACAGAGCCTGTATTGTAGCCTGTTCAGCACCTTGCTTCCTCACTAAGCTGTGTGCGTGTCCTGGAAACTCTTCAGATGAGTGTGTGGAGCTCTGTCTCCTTGTTGGCTGTGTAGGACTTCCAGGTAAGGATGTCCCATCATTTAACCATTCCCCTCCTGATGGACATCCATTGTCACCTGCCCCATTGTCACACGCGACACCACAGTCATCAGTTGCCTCATGTAAGTAGATCCAAATCCTAGAAATAGAATTTCTGGGTCTATGGAGACATGACTTTCATTTCAAATAGATCCTTCTAGGCTATGCTTCAAAGACAGTGGGCCAGTATTCACACTAACATGTACAAGTTAAATGTATGAGCGTGTGTAGAGTCTGTGAAGAAGTGAGAGGAGATGATACCAGCTCTGACTGCCCTTTCAAGAGTCTGGACCTCCCAAATTACTGAGGACACTTGTCCAGGGCTCTAGCTGGGGATACCCAAGCCCAGGCACTTGAGGTCAACTTTGTGCTGCTGCCAAGGGTTCCTTCCTTTCTTTGGAGCTTTGTAGCTTCTAGCGGTTTAGAGCCGGTCAGAGCTGGGCTCTTAGATCCTGGAAAGGCCCTCGGTGAGTATCGTGTTCTGCTATGGGGTATCGAAGGCCTAGGGCATAAGTCTTATAAGTTGGTATGACAACCAAGTTAGACTGGATGTGTGCTGACTTGTGTACTAGGGCCCTGTGGCTTGTCTTCTGCTGCCTTTGAGGTTCCAGAGCATTGAGGGGACTTACCAAGTGTTTACTGTGTCCCTGCCCAGATCGTGTTCAGTGTCATAATGCAGCTCCCTCCTGTGGGTCCTGCATCCTTCCAGACTGGAAGAGGTCTCTTAGATTTGAACCCCAGCTCTACTCATGAGAGCTTGTGGGTCCTTGGGCACACCTTAGCCTCTCTATGACTCAGCTTTCTCATCCATGGGAGTGTATAATAGGGCCTGGGTCAAAGGCTGTTGGGAGGATTGCTGTGGGTAATATCCAGGGAGCATTTAGAACATTGCCTAGCATACAGGCCCACCTAGCACATGCTGGCTGACTCAGAGTCCTGACAGGCCATCCGTACTAAGAATTCTCAGTGTTTTCTGCACCAGGCTGCGGCAGGAGACCTCAGCAAGGGAAAGAGCAGCCCCTGGTGGTCAAAGGCTGTCTTAGTCCTGAGCCTTCCCTTCTGATTACACTGCCTATTCCGCCCCCCTCCCCCGCACTGTGTTAACTTATGAGCAGTAGGACTCAATGTCAAATCTCCCGGCATATTGATAGTTCTAGAGGAGCCCAGAGAAACCATGCAGACCGTAAGCCTTGCCTTGGATTTCAGACGGCTGGCCTGTGGATTTGGAAGACCTGTGAATACAGGTCTGTACAAATCCTGAGGTCAGAAGTGTCTGTTGAACTCTCAGAGGTGGTTTTTGTTTTGTTTTGATTTTTTTTTAAAAGTCTCAGATCCAGTGGTTTTGTTTGTTTGTTTGGTTGGTTGGTTGGTTTTTTTTTTTGGGGGGGGGGTGAATGTTGATTCGTTGGTTTGTTTGTTTTTTTCTTTGTGTGTGTGTGTGTGTGTGTGTGTGCCTCCCTCCTGCCTCCATCCTGTGTCAGTGCAGAGAAGGAAATAGATTGTTCAGGGTGTGACCTAGACTGGTGTTGAGGTAGAATAGAACCAGATCTCTTCCCTCTAGCCCAGAATCCAAAGTCACAAAGTTATGTGTGTGTGTGTGTGTAGTCTACATAAGGTGTCAGGGATCCTCAGTCACTCAGAATGTAGGGTGTGGCCTTTCTCTAGCTGGGCCTTTGGTGCTCTCTGTTGGGGTACTGGGGAGGCGTGTTCCCCAGGAAACACTCGGTGCCATAGAACAATCCCAGGGTAACTCTCACCTTGTTCTCACCTTGGCTGCAGTGGAGTCTGAAGATATTTTTTTCTTTAGTCTCTTTGCTCTTTGGGTAGATGAACTGTGCACCTGCCAGCAGGGACCTGAAGCTGGAGAGCTTCGACAATCTTTATTATTTTTAAAGTTATCTGAGGGCCAGGGGGGTAGCTCAAAAGGTAAACTACTTGCTTGTCTGGCACCTTATGAAACCCATAAAACTGGGTGTGGACATGCATGCCTGAACTCTCAGCACTTGAGAGGGAGAGACAGGAAGGCCAGGCATTCAAATCATCCTTGACTACATAGTTTGAGGATAGCCTGGGTTACATGTGACCAGATGCCCCTAACACCCCCCCAACACACACACAAATAGTTGAAGAAAAGACAAACTAAAGGTTAGCATTCTTTTACTTATATGCAAACAGCTGAGTGGGTTGGAAGTAGCATGTACCTTAGATATATTCTTGCATGATTATATATTCTTATGATTAAAGCCCACCTCATGAAGGCTTACAGGAAAATAGTGGCAGTTGCATCTGGGAAGGAGAAAGGACCTTGAGAAGGAAGGAAGGAGATTTCTTTTTTTGTTTTGTTTTGTTTTTAGACAGGGTTTCTCTGTGTCATACCCTTGGCTGTCCTGCTCTGCAAACCAGGCTGGCCTTGAACTCACAGACATCCACCTGCCTTTGCCTCTTGAGTGCTGGGATTAAAGGCATGTACCACCACCGCCTGGCCAGGAGACTTGCTTGTCTACCTTTTAGAATTTCATGCACATACACACACACACACACACACACACACACACACACACACGTGAGTGTTAACATTTGTGAGTAATATGTACTTAATTAAAGAAGTACATTCTTAGATGTCATGGACAAAGGGGAAGTCAGCTGGATCCCATATTGAGCATCATTTCGGTTTATATCCTCTCCGTTGGTACATCTATGTATGTATACACATGTGTCTATTACAGGCGTGTAGAGTTAGCTGACTCTAACAGTACACTGAGCAGGCATCACCCAGACCTGGGTCACTGACCGTACTAACAATGAGCTAATGGTATTTGGGAGTGTGGTAGACAGCAGTCTGTTTTCTGGCCGGGGTGTGGTCGATTGGCATGTGGTACCCTGTGTCTCTGAGTGTGCCTGGCCCTAGTCTTTTCCCCTCTGCCTCTTCCCAGCTACAGAAGCTCCTCCTGGCCACATCCTCCCCAACAGCAAGCTCTGACGCTCTGAAGGATGGGGCCACCTGGTCCCAGACCAGCCTCAGTTCCAGAAGTCAGCGGCCTTGTGTCAAGGTATTTCTACATATGCCCAGAAGTGACCTGAGCCCCCAGCTGGCTCTCGACTGTGGCTAAGAGTGGCAGGTTCAGTCTCCATCCCTCTCTCTCTTCCTCACAGTGCTGGCTGAGCCAGAATCCCAGGCACTGCTCCTTGAAACCAGCATAGTTTGAGACTCTAAAATGAGCTCTGTACTTTCCCACACTTGAGTGTTTTGAGCTGTGAGATATTGACACAGATCTTAACACGTATTAGAACAGAAACAGGAAGGTGTGGCCTCCTTTGGGGCTCATGAGCTAATGGAGAACAGATGGGAACATCTGGCTGTGGAGACCACAGTCCAGATCGTACTTGGGTTTCAGGATTTCTGAGGAGCCTCTGGCCACTTTAGAACCTTGCATACAAAAGGTAACACCCATACCTGTCCTGGCCTTATTTTTTGGTGGGTCAGAGAAAGCTTTGGTAGATATCTAGAAGGATATACAGCGGCTCCAAGTCTGGGAGCCCTGTAGAGGTCTGGCTATCTCTTCCTTCCTCACCGACTCAGTTTGCCAGGTGCCAGCCATGCTGGGGTCTAGGGATGAAGTGAAGGAATAAGCCATTCCCACAATCCTGAGAGAGATGCTGGATCTTCTGGCTACTAGAGCAGGCAGAGAGAGAAGCATTGTGCCCCTCCCTGCTCACTCTGGCTTATTTCCTTTTCCAGGTGGATGGCACCCAGGACAAGAAGACCCCCACGCTGCGGTCTCAGGGCCGGCCTTGTACTGAACTGCATAAGCACCTCACTTCGGTGCTGCCCTGCCCCAGAGTGAAAGCCTGCTCCCCAACTCCCCATCCAAGTCCTCAGCTCCTCTCCAAGGAGGATGAGGAGGAGGGGGAGGATTGCCCAAGCCCCTGGCAAACTCCAGCCTCTCCCCAAGACTCCTTAGCACAGGACACGGCCAGCCCCGACAGTGCCCAGGCTCCCGAGGAGGATGTGAGGGCCATGGTACAGCTCATTCGCTACATGCATACCTACTGCCTGCCCCAGAGGAAGCTGCCCCAACGGGCCCCAGAGCCAATCCCCCAGCCCTGCAGCAGCCCCTCCAGGCAGGCCTCACCCCGATCCCGGCATCCCCCCAAAGCCTTCTGGACTGAGTTCTCCATCCTAAGGGAACTTCTGGCCCAAGATATCCTCTGTGATGTTAGCAAGCCCTACCGCCTGGCCATACCTGTGTATGCTTCCCTCACACCTCAGTCCAGACCCAGGCCCCCCAAAGACAATCAGGCCTCCCCTACCCACTCTGCCATGGCAGAAGAGGTAAGAATCACTGCTTCCCCTAAGAGCACCGGACCTAGACCCAGCCTGCGTCCTCTGAGGCTGGAGGTGAAACGGGATGTCAACAAGCCTGCAAGGCAAAAGCGGGAGGAAGATGAGGAGGAGGAAGAGGAAGAAGAAGAGGAAGAAGAAAAAGAGGAGGAGGAAGAGGAGTGGGGCAGGAAGAGACCAGGTCGTGGCCTTCCATGGACCAAACTAGGGAGGAAGATGGACAGCTCTGTGTGCCCAGTGCGGCGCTCCAGGAGACTAAATCCAGAGCTGGGCCCTTGGCTGACATTCACTGATGAGGCCCTAGGTGCTCTGCCCTCGATGTGCCTGGCCACAGAGACCCACACCCTGGAGGAAGACCTGGGCAGCCTCACAGACAGTAGTCAAGGCCAGCAGCAGCTTCCCCAGGGATCCCAGATCCCCATCCTGGAAAGTCCCTGTGAGAGTGGGTGTGGAGACACAGATGAGGATCCAAGCTGCCCACAGCCCCCTTCCAGAGGTAGTCTGTGGTCCACCAAAGAGGGTGGGGTGAGCAGAGCATCCCCACTGGGAGCTGGGAGCACTTCCTTCAAGCACTCAGTCTTGTGTGTTGACTGAGGTTGGATCTGGTTGTCCACTGCCCTTTCTGTACAGTTTGGCAGACCTTCAGGAAAATACCTGATCATCTTCAAGATTTTCATCGTGCGTATCAAAGCACTGCTTAATGAACAAAGAACAAGAGGCCTTATCCATGCATGGATAAGGGCAAGGGACAGTAAATAAATAAATAAAGCGAGCTAGGCATGGTGATAAACAGTACTTAAGAGTGGGTGGTGGTGGCACACGCCTTTAATCCCAGCACTTGGGAGGCAGAGGCAGGCGGATTTCTGAGTTCGAGGCCAGCCTGGTCTACAGAGTGAGTTCCAGGACAGCCAGGGCTACACAGAGAAACCCTGTCTCGAAAAAACCAAAAAAAAAAAAAAAAAAAAAAAAAAAAGAAGAATGAGGGACAGGAGGATAGAATTTGAAGCCAGCCTGGGTACATATGCAGACCTGTTTCATATAACTAACAGAGACAGAGGCCCAAGGCTCAGAGCTTTTTAGTGAAGGACCTGCCACCAGAACCATCTAGAATCACAGCTTGGGCTTGGAGCCTTGGCCTCAGTGCATGGCTACTGTGCCACACTGTTTGGCCAGCAGGGGTTGCCTGGCCCATCTGCTATTTCTGCAAAGTGAGGAGATCTGCTGGCTGAGACCCAGCAATGCAAGGTGGATTTGAATTGCACCCTATCCTTCCCTTAGATGGCCAAGGCCATATGTCACCTTAAAGGGCATCTGTCCTTGGTGGCCCCAGAACTGTGAGGGCTCCCCAAATGGGAGAGTATTTATGATGGTGTGTGTGGGGGAATCTTATTTTCTTTTTTGTCTTTTCAGACTCCCCCAGGTGCCTCATGCTGGCCTTGTCACAAAGGTAGATTTTTTGTGTGTGTGTGTGAAATTGTTGGTCTATTATTCCATGAGCTTTTGTCTGAGATGTGTGCATTCGGATGGGAGGTTATCAGCCCCTAAGCCTGGCCTCATCCTCAGGACTTGCCTTCATTGTCACCTTGCCCTTGGGATCTAGACTCCTTTCAAAGGGATTGAGTTTTAAAGAGGAACCTCTGTGAGCTGAGGAGAAAGATGGAGAATCAAGCCACTTCTGGTATCTCCAGGGCTCTAAAGAGTGTTCTTTGGGGTGGGGACTGGAAGCCTATGACACTGGGGGACTAGAAGCAAGTTCCTTCCCTCTCTGGGCTTCAGGAACTCCACCTATAAAGCAAGGAATCTACATCAGACTTTGCCTGTACCTTCCCATAACTGCAACTTGAGTTTCTTTAACACCCAGGATGGGGCCCCTCAGCACATTCTGTGGCAGACCCAGGGTCTATCCCAGTACCTTTTGCTCCCCTCAAAAGTATGGGCCTGTGGAAGGTTCCTACTGACCAGCCTCTTCCCTTCCTGTCCTCCTTGCCCCTACCAGTGACCCTCTTGGCAAGAAGAGTTTTGAGGAGTCCTTGACGGTGGAGCTTTGTGGCACAGCAGGTGAGCCTGTGGGGTGCCTGTGGGGAGTTTGAATGGCCTGAGAAGGAGTACGTCTTCTACTGAACTACTCTAGCAGTGAGATGCACAGGGAACATGCTGGGAGGAGGGTCAAGGCCTGGGGCGAGCCCTTCAGCTGCTGGTACCAGCAGCCGAGAGGGTACTGAGGTCAGAAAACAAAGACACAGCTCTGGAGGAGACCACAGTCTGGGGAGGCTAAACCTTCAGGAGAATGGTTAGCCATGCACTCATTTCAACCACTCAGTCTTGTGTGTTGAATGAGGTTGGATCTGGTTAAAGCAGAAGGTCAGAGTGGCCTGGTCAAATGGTGGAGTGGCCAGGACAGGGGTGCTGAGGGGTTGAAGGACCAACAGGCATTGGGAAACAAAGAAAGGTGTGCTTAGTTGAAGAATTGGTATGAGTAAAGATACAAGAGAATGGAAGTACAGGGTACATCAGAGTTACTGGTCCGCTGGTCCTGCTAAAAGCAAGACATGGGGGGAAAGGAATAGCAGTCCCCAAAGGACCAAGGCATAGGGGTTCCTGGCACCCATCCTGTAGGCTTTGGAAGGCATGGAAAGAAACAAGTGGGTAATTTTAGCAAGTTCCTGTGGTGTGCTTGGAAGACCGGAAGACAAAAGCAGATCAAGTAGCATCAGAGAAACCAAATGGTTGGTTTCCCCAATGGCACTGCCTTCTCCGTTCAGGGGTACCCCTGAGGCAGGGCTCTTTAAATGGTTGGCAGTAGAGCAGTAACAGATATCTCTGACCTGGACACATGAGCTGCCATTACCAAGACCCAAAGGGATGCCCATTGGCTCTCATCTCGTGCCAGCTCCTAAGAGCAGGAGGATCCCTGGGCTACATACAGGCTTGGGCAACAGTGTGGTGACTAGCTAGTGATGCCTGCCATCCACCTATAGGAACGTTGTGGCACACAGCCACTTCTGTGTCCTTGCAAACAGAACTCTTAATGTCCTCCAAGAAGACCTGCCTTACCCTCACCTGTTTTTCTTCTTGCCTGGGTAGGACTCACTCCGCCCACCACACCTCCATACAAGCCCATGGAGGAGGACGTCTTCAAGCCGGACACCAAGCACAGCCCAGGCCAAGACACAGCTCCCAGCCTCCCCTCCCCTGAGGCTCTTCAGCTCACAGCCACCCCAGGGGCTTCCCACAAGCTGCCCAAGAGGCACCCGGAGCGAAGCGAGCTCCTGTCCCATCTGCAGCATGCCACAGCCCAGCCAGTCTCCCAGGCTGGCCAGAAGCGCCCCTTCTCCTGCTCCTTTGGAGACCATGACTACTGCCAGGTGCTCAGGCCAGAGGCTGCCCTACAGAGGAAGGTGCTGAGGTCCTGGGAGCCAATCGGGGTCCACCTTGAAGACTTGGTCCAGCAGGGTGCCACTCTGCCAATGGAAACAAAGGCCCCTAGGAGGGAGCCAGACCAGAACTGTGACCCTACCCCCAAGGACAGCATGCAGCTAAGAGACCATGAGATCCGTGCCAGCCTCACAAAGCACTTTGGGCTGCTGGAGACCGCTCTGGAGGATGAGGACCTGGCTTCATGTAAAAGCCCGGAGTATGACACCGTGTTTGAGGACAGCAGCAGCAGCAGTGGGGAGAGCAGCTTCCTGCTGGAGGAGGAGGAGGAAGAAGAGGAGGGAGGGGAAGAAGACGATGAAGGAGAGGACTCAGGGGTCAGCCCTCCCTGCTCTGACCATTGCCCCTACCAGAGCCCACCCAGTAAGGCCAGTCGGCAGCTCTGTTCTCGCAGTCGCTCCAGTTCTGGCTCCTCATCCTGCAGCTCCTGGTCACCAGCCACCCGGAAGAACTTCAGGTATTTTTGGTGGCCCCGGGGAGAGGGATATCTGAGCACCCATTAGGTACCAGAGGGGAGTAGGCCTAGGAATTTGCTTTGAGACTTGGGTTGCACCTCTGCTTGCAATCCAGCCTTGGTCAGAAGGCATGAGATGGGCTCCCCAAGAGTTGGGGTATCTGAAGCAAGTAAGGCCTGGCAGGGACTGTTGGAAAGAAAGAAACTCTACATCCTGGCCCTCTGAGACTTTATATCCTGGCCCTCTGAGACTTTATAGCCTAATGAACTTGACCCTTGTTTTCTGCTCTGTGTTTGTCAATGGACAGATTTTTTTTATGCAAGCAAGCAAACCCACATAGTTGAAAAGCAACAAGATGTTAATGTGTAAAGGAAAGATGTGGTTTTGATCTATGTTCTGAAAACACCCAGATTAAAAGCATCAATGATGAGCTCTACTCCTGGGCTTGGTCCTGCGTTATTTGTTGCTGTGAACAGACCCTCTGAGAGCCCAGTTGGTAGATGGTGCATCATGAGCTAGTTTGAGCATCCCATCTTTAAGCACTGGACCTGGAAAGGGGTTTCTGTTACTGTGATAAAATACCATAACAGAAAGCAGCGGGCAGAGGAAAGGAGTTATTTCATCTTACAACTCTCAGGTCATACTCTATGCCTGAGGAAAGACAGGACAGAAATTCAAGGGAGGAACCTGGAGGCAGATTTGGGGGACAGCAGCTTCTGCTTTTTCTCATCACAGCAGGTAATGGGACCAGCTTTGTCCTAGAGAGACTCCAGAAAGATTTTGCAAGGGGTGGGTGGGTGGGTGAGGGTGAGTGAGTGAGGGTGTCCCAGCCCTGAGCTTGAGGTTACCTGAGTGGCCACTAGATGGAACTCTTTAGCCTTGAGCAAAGCCATGGAGTTATGGGGGAAATCTTGTGAGGCTGCTGGGGGGTCAGGGATGTGCTGAGCGGTCTGAGTCTGTGGGTATGGATAATTTGCATTTCGGGCAAGCTCTCGGAGCATTCTGAGACCAGAATTCAGATCTTAGACCTTTTCTTAGACAAATTCAGCTTTGTATATATACATCTCTACCAGCTGTTCTTAGCTCTTCAAGGACCCCAAGAAAGCAAAGCTCCTGTGCCCATCAAACGATACACACAAAGGGATTTCAGGAATGCCCCGCAAACCGATGTGCAAGTTATCTGTTACTACAGATGACTTTCCCTGAGGTTTTACTGACAAGCCATCAGCTCAGCTGTCTTGCAGAACTCTCAAGGCTTGCCAGCTGGTCCTTTTATAATTTCCCAGGAGTTTGCCACTAAGACATCTTAATGCCATCGAAATTTCCCCAGTGTTGTGCCAACCCCCCACTGCCAGCACTAGAGTTCCTGGGCACTTCCTTTCCTACCTAGTCCATGGATTTGAACAGGGTCTGTATTCCAGGACCCTAAAAGTTGAGACCAGGTCTTCCCTGAGACTATAAATTCCCTATTTTCTCTTCTCAGATATAGGCCCAGTGTAGGCCTAGCTGTTTCTTCTGTTCACTGGAGAGTGACTTGGTTATGCCAGTCCCTGTTCAACTGCCCACAGAGCTGTGTATCTGACAAACCTGGAAAACCATCCCTCAGCCTTCTCTAGACCTACTTTCTATTTATTGGCTACCAGCAGACAATGCAATGAGTCCATCTGCACAATGCCAGCCCAGTTCCAAGAATTCCTGTCTCAGCAATCTCGAAGGGAAGGCTCGCCAACTCTGGTCTCAGTGAATGATAACTCTTGACTGAATAATAGCACATGAAAGTTAACAAGTCACGAGTCATATCGCCTTCTGTTGTGGTACTTGGGCTTCACAGATATAGTTGGAAGATACATGTTTCTTTTTCTGTTTGTTTTCATTTTTTCAAGACAGGGTTTCTCTGTGTAGCCCTGACTGTCCTGGAACTCACTATGTAAACCAGAGGTAGAAGTAAAAGAAACAAGGGTTTAAGTTCAGTCCGTGTAGCTCAACCATCCATACTCTTCTAAGCTCTATTTAAATTTTTAAAGACTCATTTGGGGAAAGGCAGGCCCTGGGTATGGCTGCAACACCTTGAGGACAAGAGTAGATGATGAAGAAGCATGGTTTTAGAGCAGACCTGATTCCAATTCTAGCTTCTCCCATTTCTAGTTTTGGTCAAATCTTACCTGGAACTGAGCTTCAGACTTTCTTTTGGAAATGGGAGTATATAAAACATCCTGGATATTTTTTTCCTCAAATCAATAATGCAAGGAAGCAAAAGGGCTTTCTACTCCTGACAGTGGAGAAAGGCAAGACCTGGAAGGTCAGGACAAGAATTAATACGGGCTGCTTCCCAGGGATCTCAGCCTGGGAGCCCCAGAGGACACCAGGCCAGTGTTTGGTCCCACACAGTCAGGGCTGGGTTTCTGCAAGAGTGAGATTGAGCACTGTGCCTTGCTTGTTCACTGACAGACGTGAGAGCAGAGGGCCCTGTTCAGATGGAATCCCAAGCGCCCGGCATGCCAGGAAGCGGCGGGAAAAGGCCATCGTAAGTGATATGGGGTCCCTGGACCTAGAAAAAGTGGGGACAAGCCAGAAGCATCGAGAAATGCTAAGCCACCAGCCTTCACTCCCCGCCTGCCTGAGGAGTAATGAGCCATAAACTACACGAAAGGACACAAGTATATCTTATTTCACAGTAACATAAGTAACCAAAAGCCATTAAAGGTAGCACCATGGGAAGCCCAGCATTTAACTGGTCATTGTCTGCAGTAGTTAGCCACTTAGGACTCAGCTTCAGGGACTCTGAAAGAGTCAAGACAGATGATAGGACTTAAGCAGGGACTGGCTTGGCTGGTCAGTTCACACGCCTTCTGTCTGATCCTGGGCAAGAGCCTGTCTTCCCTGAGCCTCAGTTTATTTGTCTGTACATAGGAGATTTGGGCCTTGTGCTTCATAAGGGGTCCCTCAACAAACCCATTCTGTCCTCTCCACCCACCTCAAGGATCTTCCTAGAGCCTGCTGTTAGAAACTGAGCTTGTCCACGAGGGTGTTCCTGGGAGCCTTCGGTGTTCATGGCCCAGACATTATGTCATAGCCCTAGAAAGGAGGGAGGGAAGGTATAACAGACACACAAAAGGACAAACAGCCTCACTGCTTGCCATGCTTTGGGAGGTGAGTGTGTGGGTGGGGCACACAAACCCCAGAGGTGCACAGCCGTGTACAACGGGTACTTAAAACTGCAGGTAAAGCCAGGCATGGTGACACATACCTTTAATCCTAGGACTTGGGAGGCAAGTGCATTTCTGTCAGTTCAAAGCCAGCCTGGTCTACATAGTTGGTTCCAGGTCAGCCAAGGCTACATAGTGAGACCCTATCTCAAACACAACCAAACCACAGGTGAACATAGTCTTCTTGGGTTAGGTGGTTTGACAAAGCTGGCATACTCCCAGGCTTCAGGTGACAGCAGTATGAAGACAAATTAAGTCCTTATTCCTGTGGTTGAGGCAGAAAGGAGAGAAAGACAGCAGATTCATAAAGGGAAACTGATGGGATTAAGAGTTGATATAAACTCCTTGAGATTGACAGAGTCCTGACTAGAATTTGGACCATTTACATCGGTGACTTCCGAGAGATACCATAAGGAGCTTAGGGATAAAGGAACAACCGAAAGTATGCAGGGTCCAAGAGCTCTGGGGGTGGGGGGGGGTCAGAAATTCAGGGAATTACCAGGACACTGGGAGGAAGGGCTTTCGCTACAGACCTGGAAGGAGCCCAGCATGCCAAAGCAGACTCTATGACTAAATGAGGTCCTGTTCTGGACTCTGGCTCTAGGCTTTCTTTTCTGACATCTGTGGTTGGCGGATTGGCTGTTTGGAGAGTTGCTGGCCATGCCTAGAGACAGTCTGTCTGGGCCACACACTGTCTCAACCCACTAGAGCACAGGTATCCAGGCAAAGGGCCCAGGTCCATCAAATCACGAATCTCAAAAGAGGCAGGAGGTTGCAGCCTGGCCTCCTTGATTGTTTTCTCTCCCTGTCTGATCTGTAGGCCCACTAGCATCTAGCATAGAGCCAAACTCTTCTGAGGGTGACCTGTGGGGCATGGTGTCTATGTCATGGCTTCATCCTGCTTTCCTTGGAAAACGCAGATAAAATGATGGCTCCTGTGACCCGTTTCATTATCTTTCCTCCTGGTGTACTCTGACCTCTACAAACCACCAGGTCCCCAGTGTATCCTCAGTGGCTTGCAGGCTCAAAACAGCGATGAGGAGAACATGCTCATCTGATAGTATAGGTCCTCTCTGCCCAGTCTCTGCTCTGTCCCTCCATGCGGGAGCTTCCCCTCAGGGGAAGCTTCTCCTGTACTCAGTGGTCCCTGCTCCAAAAGGACAGGTCTTTTGGTATAGAGGTTGTCATGGTCCTCTCTCTTACTCTAGCAGTAAAGAGTTACTGCTGCTCACCCAGGCCTAGACAGAGACTCCATGAGGGTAATAACAGGGTCCTTCTCTGTCCCTCATTTGTGAGCAGGGCGAAGGCCGTGTGGTATACATTCGAAATCTCTCCAGCGACATGAGCTCTCGGGAACTAAAGAAGCGCTTCGAGGTGTTTGGTGAGATAGTAGAGTGCCAGGTGCTGATGAGAAGTAAGAGGTGAGCGTGGGGGAGGGGAAGCCATTACAAATGGGGAAGGGGGAGGAGAAGGAAGGAAGGAGCCAGGAGCTGGGGGGGGGGGGGGAGCACAGGTGGGACAAGAACAGTGGTAATTGTAAAACTGGCGACAGCACCACACCATGCTGCGATGTGACCCAGCGCCCACAGCATCCATGCTTTCTGTCATCAAAATACTTGACACTTTTAAAAACCCATCCATTCTTATTCTCATTCTGGGGAATCTCAAACAAGTTAACAGGGAAGAACTGGAACCCGTGTAGGCTTCAAAGCCTTTGTTCAAACAAACGTGCAGGCTAGGAAGTGCCCTTTGCTGACTTGAAGATGTACTTGTTTTGAGACCTCACTGCGGCAGTCTCCGTGTTACTCACAGGCCTCCCTTCCTGTGCAGCGCATCCTGGGCCTGCAATCTGCTAAGTAGTTCTGTCTTGTCCTCATTCACCTAGGGGAGCTGCTTTTTAATCAGTAAGGAAATCTTCAAAAAAAAAAAAAAAAAAAACAAACCCAAGTTACCCATAGACTCCACAGATAGCTTTGCTGATTTAAAAGGAGTTCCAAATTATCTATTATCATACCTGCAAAGTAAGTTATTAGGGTTTTAAATTCTGACTTAATAGCAATAATCATAATAAAAATCCTTAGCCAGAAAGTAGCCTTTTGTCTAACAGTCTTTCTATACCTCATATCCATTTAGATGGTTGCTCTAGTTTGTTTTCCATTGCTATCATAAAAGCCATGACCAAAAGCAACCTAGGCAGGAAAGGGTTTATTTCAGCTTACAGCTTAGTCATTCATGAAGGGAAGGCGGGACAGGAACTCAAGGCAGGAACTGAAGCAGAGACCATGGAAGAACACTTCTCATGGCCTTGTTCCCCATGGCTTGTTTAGCCTGATTTCTTATACAATCTAGAACAGCCAGCCCAGGGATGGCATCACCACAATGGCCTGGGTCCACCCATATCAATCACTGATGAAGAAAATGACCCACAGGCTTACCTACGGGCCACTTTGATGGGAGCAGTTCCTCAAAAGAGGATCCCTCTTCCCACATGGCTCTAACTTGTGTCAAGTTGACCAAAACTAACCAGTATAGCTACTGCTAAAACAAAAATAGAGACGTGCTGGTAAAAACGTGGGGAAAATGGAACCCAATTAGGGTGAAGTGGAATAGAGCAGCTTCTTAAAACATGCATAGAACTATTGTGTGATCTAGCAACTCTATTTATGGGTATACAGTAATATATTCAAAAGAATGACAAACAGGTTTGCGAAGAGGGGCCAGCCACCCGTGTTTATAGCTCACAACAGCAGAGAGGTGAGAATAATCCAAATGCAATGTACACGTATAGCGGGGTATTATGCAGTCTTAAGAAAGAGGCCATGCGTGCTTCACGTAGATGAATACTCATTAATGACACTGTGCTAAGGGAATGGTCTAGTCACATGAGGGCCGATGTTGTGTGTTCACACTTATACCATGTACTTAGAAACAGAAGGTGAAATGATTGTTACTGGAGGCCCAGGGATGAAGTGGAGACACTGTCTAAAGGCTACAGGAGTGCTTTTTAGAAGATGGACTATTTTCTGTTGATCACACAAGGAATGGCAGTACACACCTGCAATCACAGCACTTGGAAGCTAGAAGCCTGAGAACTGAGAATTTGAGGGCAGCGTGTGTTACCTAGCAAGATCAAGTCTAGCCTGGGCTACATAGTAACATCTGTCTCAGAAAGACAAAACAAACTAAACATTTTTCTAGAGACTCATTATACGACAATGTCGACTTAACACTACTCAACTATGCGGTTAAACATGGTAATCGTTGTGTTATGTATTTTTACTGTAATTTTTGGCTCACTACGCAAATAGAACTTTGCAAAGTTTTATGCAGTCTTCAGGATTTCATCCAAACATAGAAAATGAAAGAAGTCTCCAAAGAAAAGGCTTAGTTCGCTAAGATTGTAAAAGTGTACAACCTCCTTAAAGGAGAGTTTTAGACAGACAACCATTTTCAGATATTCATAGCAGCAGAGGGGCTCAAACTTGGCCCCAATTGGGACAAGCATCAGTGTACATGATTAGGATTCTCCTGTGGTTGGCCTATCCTGAGTCACAGGAGCTTGAGGAAGTTGTGTGTCAGAGGATTGTTTACTTATCAATAGAGCTGAACTATCAGAGCAGAGCTGGCTGGAGGTCTCCCTTGCCTTGAGTCCTTCCCTAACAGGCTTGCTTCTTAGTTGCTGCAGAGATCTAAGCTCACCTGTTAACAGCTCAGAGTTTCCTGGGGGACAGAATTTCTGCTCACTGTTCCAGCAGAGATCTGGTATAGACCTCCGGGGTTTAGCTTTGGGCAATAGGTTCATCCTTGAACATATATCACCATGTCCAGGGAGATACTGTCATGTGACTCGGTGCTCTCTGCAGAGGTAGGAAGTATATGATGCTGCAGGCAGGTAGACTAGCAGGTGTCATACGTGCAGGTTAAGATGAGTCTGAAACATCAGCGGAATTAGGTAAGATGAAGGGCAAGTTGGCAGCCAAGGAAGTAGAGGCCGAAGCTGTCTTCGAAGGGTCTAGAGCAGTGTTCTCAACCCGTGGGTTGCTACCCCTTGGGGGTCAAATGACCCTTTCACAAGGGTCACATATCAGATATCCTTCATATTAGATATTTATTGTGATTCAAAACAGTAGTAAAGTTACAGTTATAAAGTAGCAACAAAATTAATTTTATGGTTGGGAGTCGGTACAACATGAGGAACTGTATTAAAGGGTTGCAGCATGGGAAGGGTTAAGAACCGGTGGTCTAGAGAATGGCAGAGTGAGAATGGGGAGGAGACATAGCAGAACCAGGGGAGTGATGAGGGAGAGAGGGGAGTGTTAGGAGCATTTAGCTTCATGACCAGGGGTCTTGTCAGTCCCTGCTGAGTCCCATGCCATTGGGTTGAGCCTGGAACTCCACAGAGCTTATTTTTCCTGGGCGAGGTGGAGGTGAGAACGCCCCCTCCCAGGCGTCCCATCTGACTGTGATGCAATGCATGATGTCCAGCAACTGTCAAACACCCAAGAGTTCAGCTGCCCCTGCTGTCTTCACAGTACAGGGGTTGGCCTATCAAATCTCATCCCTCACTGAAGAGAAGCGGGCACGTGACATGGTTTCCTGTTCTTTATCCTATGATGGGTACTCTTATGATATTCACCAGGCTGGCCTAGAACACCCTCCCTTACCCTATCCTCTCCTTCCAGAGGCCAGAAGCATGGCTTTATTACCTTCCGGTGTTCAGAGCATGCCGCCCTGTCTGTGAGGAATGGCGCCACGCTGAGAAAGCGCAATGAGCCCTCCTTCCACCTGAGCTATGGAAGGCTCCAGCACTTCCGCTGGCCCAGATACACTGACTATGGTAAGAAAGCAGAGTCTAACTATATTGTAATGAGTCCCAGAGTAAAAGGGACAGTGACTTCCTTTAATGACATATAGACTGAAGACCCCTCTGAACATGGCCGCTTGTCAAGCTCCTCCCCATTGTTACTCTACAGCTGCTTTTTCTGCAGCTGACATCTTGCTTTTTCTTCTGCCCTGTGGTCCTATGAGTAGCTCTAACCACACAGTCACCTTCCTGTTCTCATAGGAAGGTACAGTCTGTGCTCTCAGCTACCCAGCAGTACCTTGGCTGTCCTGTCTCTTTCCATGCACTCTGTGGTGACCCTTGACAGGCAGAAGCTTTACCCTTAATAGAGGGCAGCATGGAAAGACACAGTGCCCGTACCATTTGTGCACAACATGGCGGAAGACAAAGAAACACAAGGTAGAGACAAATGATCTGTAGAGGCGAGCCCGTGGTAGCCTTTGTGGTACCGGTAGTCCATTGTGAGACTTAGTTTCCCCATATGTCTGAGATAGATCCATTAGCATTTTCTTCTGTGACTGACTAGGATCAGAGTATCAAATTACTAGTTGGTGGAAGGGTGTTTGGAAAATACACTTCTAGAATGTTGGCTGGAAAGGAGTTGTAGGGTGTTCTGTTCAGGGACCCAACACTCTATAACAGGAACTTGGAAGCCATGAGGTCTTGTCAACATGGAAGAACTGTCACAGCAGAATGACTGTTGAAGAGTGGGCGCTGTGGTAGTGCCCACTCTTGCACTGTGACACCCTGGCCATCCCAGTTCCTTGAGACCCACCCTCAGTGGTAGATTTGCTGGTTCCAACTCAGTTTCTCACCACCTCACCTCTCACCGGCCCACAGATCCCACATCTGAAGAGTCCCTTCCCTCATCTGGGAAAAGCAAGTATGAAGCCATGGATTTTGACAGCTTACTGAAAGAGGCCCAGCAGAGCCTGCATTGATATCAGCCTTAACCTTCGAGGAATACCTCAATACCTCAGACAAGGCCCTTCCAATATGTTTACGTTTTCAAAGAAATGAGTATATGAGGAAGAGAGCAAGCCAATGAGCGATCGAGCGTGAGAGAACACACAGGAGAGAGAGACTTGAATCTGCTGTCGTTTCCTTCTAAAAACAAATCAATGTTTACATTGAACAAAGCTGCTTCCGTCCGTGAGTTTCCATGCTGTTGATGTTCCACTGCCACGTTAGTGTCGTCCTCGCTTCCAGCGGATCGTCCTGGGTGCACCTCAAAGTGCTGTCAGTCATCCTCTGCCCCTCCCACTCGACTGACTTCCTTCTGTAGACTTGAGCTGTGTTCACATAACATCTTCTGTCTGTAGTGTGTGATGATGAAATTGTTACTTGTGAATAGAATCAGGATTAGAAACTCATTTTTAATTGAAGAAAAAAGTATATCCTTAAAAAAAAACAAATGTATTTATGGCTCAGATCCTCTGTGCCTGGGATTATTGTATTGCTTCCTTGATTGTTTAACTATGCACTGTCATGAGGTGTTTGCTACTGAGCTGCACTGCTGCTTTTCCCTGGCAGGAAAGAGGGGCTTGCAGTCACAGGTATGAAGAGAGGGGTGTCCAGGTATCTTCTACTAAGTCCTGGTGTCTTTTATTTTGAGTGAGTTCCACTCAATGTAACGAGAATCCCTTTCCCCCGTCTACCCACACTTGGAGGGTGCCTGTCTTTAGTGCTCAGAGCCCTGAGTGCCTGTAAGGAAGGCCGAGTAAGCTGTGTTAGACCCATTCCACAGGGAAAGAGGATAGGGCCTGAGAGGTGAAATGTCCTACCCCGAGGTCCCACTGCCATGGAGCAGGCAGAACAGTGATCCAAGCCTCCTGACTCCTGGCCCAAGCCTGCTGCAGGAGTTAGCATAAAGATGCAAAAGTCAGAGGCTGGAGGAGTGGAATTAGCTAAGTTGAGCAATAGGCTAAAAGCCTCATAGCTCATTTGAGAATTGGGCCACCAGTTGACTCACCAGCATTAAGGCTAATTCAAACTTCAGCACAGACTCAGGTGTCCCTGAGCTTTGATCCTCAGTGTCTTGTGACTTACCCTGCCTGCAGGTACCCCTCAGGGCTCTGAGACACCAGCAAGTGGTGCACAGACTTTCCCTAGGAGCAGTCTTTTGGGGCAGGGAAGGCAACTGGCAGCCCATCCTATGTCCTACAGTGTCCCTGCCTGCGCCTCTGTAAAGTTAGAGGTGCCAAGTGAGGGGTTGTACAGGTTGGGGGTGGACAAGGCCCTCCCAAGGAGCATTCACAGTGAGCTCCTCTTCAACTCATTCTTGACTACTGTCAAAGCCATATCCAGTGTGACACTCTCTGGGTTCCCAGGGGCCCTTTGTAAGGGAGAACCAGCTAGGCAGAGTATCAATTCTAATACTTCATATAGCTCTGTTCCTCCTTGGTCTTGTGACATTTTCTTTCTTTCTCCCCTTCCTCCACCCCACCCAATGTTCTGCCAAAATAAGAGAGTTTGAAAGTAAATGACTCATTAGACTACCCAAGCTAAATTAATCAGCTGCTCATGCCAGGCTTATTCCTTTGAGAAGTGGTGGTTTTTCTTTTTTAATTTTTTTAAGATTATCAAATACCTCAGTAGAGAAAGTGAGCCATAATCTTGTGCTTGGTGTGGGGGAAAAGTCTTCACCCATAGATAAGGGGGCTGGCTCTAGCAGAAAGAGGGAAACAGAATATCTGTGTGTCAAATCCATTGACCTCCTGAACCCCAAGTTCCCTTTCTGTGAAACGGACTAAGGAACAAATTAGACAGCAGAAGTCTTAGCTGCTGCTCGGGCAGTCTATAGGGTAGCCATGCCTCCCCCCATATCCTTGGCCAATGCAAACATAATGAATTGACCATAACACTAATGTTTTTGAGCCTGGTCGTGCTATTGGGATACTCAACACAGTGCTTTGGGCAGGCATTACTAATTGCTAGGTGTTTAATTGATTTGACATCCTGTTCTAATCTTTGGAAGACTATCATTGTAGAGCCATATGCTGGCTGGTTTTTATGCTGTCCAGCCCTGTCATAACCTGATCCATTGAGGGGAAAAAAGCCCCTGAAGCCGTTACTTGGTAGAGGACTCCCAAAACTATTACAAAACAAAATAGTATAGAAAGGAAGGGGCAGAATAGCATACGGGAACATAACTGGAGAAGGTGTGGCTTCTAAGGATAGATCCAGAAAGGGACTTTTCATAGCACAGACCCAACGATTCTGAATCCCTTTATAGTTATTCATTGCCTAGCATATGGTAGGCACATGGAAAATGGGTATGGAGTGGAACAGAATTAGAGTTCTTTAGTTGCATCCACTAAAACCAGGGCTCTAATCGCAGAGAAAAGCTGGTGCTCACCAAAATTGTCCAAAGGGAAAAGGATTAGATTTAATCTGGAGAGCCATTTGAATTCTGACCCCACCAAGAACTTCTTCTGTGACTTTATGAGTCCCTTTTTCCTGGGCCTCGGACAGTAGAAGTTGTCTAGGGAACCATGGGCTCTTACCATTTACTTCTGCAGTTACACTGAACCAGATGATGGTTTCTGGAGTAAAAGAACAAATTCTTAATAAACACTAAGCCTTTTTTCCCCAGCCAGGGTTAACTGGAACTGACCAATCAGTTCACTCTCTGGCACTCAAAGTCACTTACATGTTGTTCTTGAGCAGAATAGAGCCCCAAGCCTGGCACTGGGGACTAATGCCCCAGAGCTCACTGGTGGAAGCTGATGCCCACCAAGAGTTTCTAGTATCCTCCACTTACCCTGTCATAAAAATGGACTACCAGCTCTGCAGATGACCTCTCTCTCTGGAAGATCCATTCGGTGCTGCATATAAATTACCAAGGAGAATGTCAGGCCCCTCCAAAACCCAGAATCCGTCTTGATCTCTTTCCCATCAAATCAAGGAGTAACCCAGAGGGAGCAGCTGCCATTGGCAATCTTCTCGTTGTAGCTGTCCTGATGTGTCTCAATGATGTTTACGTGTGCTTGCCATACAGCTTCCTATAGACTGTTGACAACCACCCAGGGAGGGCAGGCTCCGTGTCATCTCTATGCTGTGCTGGTATTTTCTAGAACTGTCCGATCCAACCACTAAGTGGAATTCTTCCATCTCCTTCCTCAGTCACTACAAGGCTGAATCAGAGTTCCCTCTCTCAGGGGACTCTGTTACTGAAGGAAAATGCATCAAATAGGTAAATATGAGTGGATACAGTATAGCCAAGGTTCCTACTCCCCATTCCCTCCCCCCCACATCGCTTGTGGCCCCAGCTAGAAAAATGCTTTGAATCAGAAAGTATCTATCCTATGCCTGTGTCTTTCTGTTGATTTTTAAAAATCTGGTGAACAGCAAGGCTCCAGGGGTGGGAGGACTGGTTTGAGCCAGCCACAAAGTCTTAGTCCTCAAGTCCTAATATGGGAAGACATACAGTAAGATGTCTTTTGTGACCTCAAGCCTTGCAGGTCAGTGTTTGGGGGAAGACATGATATACCTGCCATGGCCGCTGTACAGGTGGTAAATGGAGAGAAAGAAAATGCAGGCAGCCCATTCTTTTTGCATGGCCAGCTCTCTCCAGGGTCTGTCCTCGCCCTCGAGTTCAGTTCACCTTTCAGTTGACCCTGTTGCTTCAGAGGCAAGGGCACCTCTCCATGAACTGGAGTCACCCTTAGAGGGTTTGTTGATGTGATTCACTGAGGTCAAAAGTATTTTTCTTAATGTTTGATCTTCAGCGGTTGTGATCAGCTTGAGAAAGTCATATTCCAGTGTCACGTGTGACAATGGAAAGGGATTGGGTGTGTGATAATAGAGTGAACCTGTTGGTGTCATTAACCAAAGAAAAGGGATCCCTTCTCCCTGCTCACTGGGGTAGAAGGAAACTAGTCCTTATGTGCAATATGTTGACACTGCCCTCCAATTCTCTGAGGGTTTTGTACAAGGGTAAGCTCCTGGGCTGTTTGGAGCGTCTGGGGATACAGGGTAAGGGCAGGGAGAGCCTGGGATAGAAACTTCCCTGCACAGAGATAGTCTTGGCCTAGGACAGATGGGAGTGTGGGCAGGGTGCTCCTGACTCTAGCTGCGGAACACCGGGACACCCAGGAAGCAGTTAGGCAGACACTTTGCACTAGTCCACGAAAGCACTTTGAGAAATCTGACACTTCAGCCTTGCTCCACACTCTCCTCTGGTAAATCTGTGTATCCTTTATCTGTGTGTAAGGTGCCGTCCTGGAGCCAGGTTAGAGGATAGGGAAGCGGGCTAATGTGAGAAAGAAAACAGAGGCATCTTTCAAGGTAGTAGCCATAAGAGAGTCTGCAGATAGTCTTTGCCTGGCTTCTTACTAGAAGCTCAAGAAACAGAATCATGGGCTTATATCTTGGTACCCACTTTTATAAAATCTAAAAAACAGCCTACCCAATTGCAATGCTTTGTGGAGCAATCTTCCCTTTACGTTTCTTATTTACTGTGTGACCTTAGGCCCATGTTCCTTGAGCAAATGAAGCTGTCCAATGATAACAAAGCCAGGGAAGCCCAGAGTTCTACTTACTCTCTGGCTAGATTGGGGTGTGTATATGAGGAAAGGGCACTCTCTTCAAGGTCATCAACCTCCAATAGGATGAGATCCACATAGTCCTGACTGAGGCGCCTTCTGTGAAGAGGCTAGCTCCTCAGGACAGATCCAAGCCATAGTCTTTTGTGGGATGGTAAAGAATTAACCCTCATTGTCTCGTTGACAACCTCCAGTCTCCAGTTAGCCTTGTCATCATCCCCACCGAAGAGCTTTTAATCTGAATGTTGTGACCACTTGGCCGTCCCTTGCTTGCTTGCGGATAATACTAGCAATACACTTGTTTTCCCCAAATAGCTCAACTTAAGACAGTTTTCACACATTGCTTTCAGATGATTATAAGACACATGGGGCAGCAGGAGGCATGGATCACACTGCATATGTTTAGGGCAGCTTTTGGGTTTTTTGGGGGGGGTTTTTTTGTTTGTTTTTTTTTGTTTTTTTGAATCTTTAATGGTATAGCAGCAGTGACCAAGCCTTTGGGATTTGGGGAGACAGATGTTCACAAAGCCATTTCATCAGAATGCCTTGACTATTGAAAGG